ATTTTAGACCTTTTATTAAAAAAAATAGGGGCGGGGGGAGGGCAGTGGGATGTTTTTTAGAAACTACTTTAGCATATAGGACCAAGAATAAATTGCAGCCTTATTGCCCTTCAGTTGTTTTTGTTCACTTATTTCATTCTGTTATGCATTTAAAAACTTTATTTCTGAATTTCATGATTGTTACCTAATTAATTTAGTAAGATTTAATTTTATTACAGGAATTTTCTTATAAAAGTGATTTACTTAAAATACAATTTTCTTATAATTTGTAAAGACAGAAATTTTTAGGATTTAAGAATTATAGCTGCTTTCATTTTCAAATATCTGAAGAGGCACTCTTTTTGTTTAAATTGAGGCAAAATTGATATATAACATTATTTTAGTTTCAAGTATACAAAATAATTATTCAGTATTTGTCTACATTGACAAATGATCACTGCATCAGGACTAGTTATCTGTGACCAGATATAGTTACAAATTTTTTTTTTCTTTTGATGAGGAATTTTGTGATCTCCTCCTTTAACAGCTTTTAAATAAGCAATACAGTATTAATAGTCCCCATGGTGTACACCATGACTTATTTCATAGCAGGAAGTTTATACCTTTTGAGTCTCTTCACCCATTTCACTCACAAACCTCCAATCACCAGTCTGTTCTCCATACCTATGAATGTTACTTTGTTTTCGTTTATTAGATTTCAAATATAATTGAGTTTATAGTGTATTTGTCTTTCTCTGTCTGACTTATTTCACTTAGCATAATGCCTTCAAGGTTTAAACATGTTGCAAATGGCAAGAATGCATTCTTTTTTATTGCTGAATAATATTTCATTTGTGTGTGTATCTGTGTGTGTATATGTAAATAAATAACATCTTTATCCATTCATCCATCAATGGACACTTAGGTTGTTTTCAGAACTTGGCTATTGTAAATAATGCTGCAGTGAACATAAGGGTAGATATATCTTTTTGAACTAGTTTTTCATTTTGTTTAGAAAAATGCCCAGAAGTCGGATTGCTGAATCATATGGTGGTACTATTTTTAATTTTTTGAGGAACCTCAGTATAGTTTTCCATAGTGGCTGCATCAATTTCCATTCCCTTTTCTCCACAGCCTCCCCAGCATTTATTTCTTGTCTTTTTGATAATACCCTTTCGAACAGGTGTTATGTGGTACCTCATTTTAGTTTCGATATGCATTTACCTTATGATTAGTGATGTTGAGCATCTTTTCATGTACCTGTTGGCCATTTGTATGTCTTCTTTGGAAAATGTCGATTCAGATTCTCTGCCCCTTTTTAGTTGGATTGTTTATTTATTTGCTATTGAGTTGTATGAGTTTTTTATATTTTGGATTTAACTCATTGTCAGGTACATCATTTGCAAATATTTTCAGTAGGTTGCCTTTTCATTTCGTTGATGACTTTATTCTGCCAAAGCCTTTAAGTTGATTTAGTCCCACTTGTTTATTTTTGCTTTTATCGACTTTGCTTTTGGTGTCAGAAACAAAAAAGTCATTGCCAAGACCAATGTCAAGGAGCTTTTCCTCCTATGTTTTCTTCTAGGAGCTTTATGGTTTCAGGTCTTTCATTCAAGTATTTAATCCATTTTGAATTTATTTTTGTGTATGTTATAAGATAGTCTAGTTTCATTCTTTTGCATATGACTGTCCAGTTTTCCCAACATCATTTATTGAAGAGACTATCCTTTTTCTATTTTGTATATTCTTCTCTTTTTTTTTGTTGTAAATTAATTGATCATATATGCATGGATTTATTTTAAAATTATATGTGTGTGTGTATCAGAGAAGTTTTCTCATGTCAATAAATAAAATACTTATTGAAAAAATACTGTTTTATTTTTACCTCCTTTGAAACTTATCTTTTGTGTTTATGCTTTTGTACTATTATATATACACATAATATAAAAAGATAAATATATACATATTGCATGTGCTTGCTCATAAAGTTTTTCTTTTTTTACAGTTAAAGCCATTAAGAGAATTTGGGTTTGATTGCCTTTCATAGTTGGAGATAAATTTATGTAAGGAGTGTGAGTCAATGGATACATCATCAGATATATGAATTTACATAGTATCTGGAGATTAGCAAAAGATTTTGGTAAATGAATGATGTTTTAGAATTTACAGGGACATTAAAAGTATATCACCATTCTTGGGAAGAATCTTGACATAAATTGCTAATTAAAGATATCAAATAGATGCTCAACGCAGAGTAAGATAACAAATATCCAGCACCTTCCTTCTTTTTATAAAAAAAAATCTTTTAAAGCTGATGTTAGAAACTACTGTTGTTTTTGAGAACACATAGTGCCTGTAGTAATAGTCACTGTATATTTTTAAAAATTTGTTTTCTGTGTATTGGACCTCTGTGACTAGTTCTTTTTTCTATTTTATTCTGTACTTTCTGTTAATAGATATTTTTACTTTTATAAGTGTCTATTTAAAGAACCATCCCCCAATTTAGACTGTTGGGCATACACATAACACACAAAAATACTGAAAAGCTTAGTCATAAGTTCTGCAGGATTTTTGGTCCAGCATCTTAAGGATTTCTTCAGCATCTGTACCTGAGTGTAAGTGTGCAGAATGAGGAGTATAACTTCACCTCATGAATAATCTTGCTTATTTCATACTTTCATTATGCACTTGACAAGTGAGTTGCAGAATTAGCTGCCTAGTGCTCAGTGAGACATTTGATCCTGGGATTGAATAAAATCAGTCTTGTTTGAGTCAGACAGTGGGATATAAGTAGCTCTGCCATTAAGTGGAGTCCAGCAGGATTGCTCTAGACTTACTGCTTGTTGTGTAGTTATCAAAGTAACAGTCCTTCCTAAAATGGAGGCTAGTGTGTTACAGCAAGAAGCTACTGCAGGAGACTGGGGAAGGGACAGCCTTTTCAGGAAATTTTCCTGAGAGACCTTTAGTGGAGGCTGTTCTAGAAGTATTAGTGTTGCAGGCATCTAGGCAGTATGTGAAGGAATTGAGTATCAGACTGTTGGTTGGGACTAGACCCAGTACAAGTCAGTCAGGGCATCAATGAGTGGTAAAGTAGGTCTTTAAGGGAAAAAAAATCAAAAGGTTTGTATAAGTATCAATTACTTGCATTTTGTCTTTAAGCGACTTAAAAATATTACATACATTGCAGAGCAAAAAGGAAGTGACTGTGGCTAGGTGCGGTGGTTTTCATTTCTGTTCTCCAAAACCACTAGGACAATATCTAGCTCTCTGT